ACTAAATGGTCCTTTATCAAAAAGCGACTTATTGCAGGAGCTGTTTATGTAAATTCTATTTATCTTTGTGTGAAATCAGACCCCTATATGATTATACTAACTGCAGATTTTGGGCGCGCTTCGTCCGATATTTGCCTGCACTGAGCTTACAAGTTGATATCGAGGAAGCATGGACCTTTGACTGAGCTTGATAGGCTTGACAGTCGGTTAGCGGTGCGACAATATCTCCAGCAGTTTATGCATCGTTGCTTATACAAATAAATACGTAAATTTATGGACACATTTACTTATACATGATTGAGCGAGCACTAATTTGGGAGTAGACCATCTACGCCCTCGACGATGTCTCGCAGTTATAGTATCGCATCCTCCTCATGATTTTGCTGCTGTATAATTCTTCCGAATGTCATTGATTACTGCATCCCCATGATCAGATCCTTGATGGCCAAACAAACAAGGCTAGCTTTATTGACACCTATTTTGATTTCTACTGGGGTCTATCTACTCATCATACGTGTCCCTTACCTTGAAAGTACGACCGCGTGAAGGAAGTGTGCGTGGAGGACAAGGCGGACTATGCCTGCGGTGGTGGAAATCCCTGCATGAACGGTGGTGAGTGCCAAAAGGCCCTGCAAACGGGCAATGTCGAGTCAAGTGGCGATGGTGAAGAGGAAGGAGAGGAGGATGTGGATCAGAAGAATCAACTTTTCGTTTGTAAATGTCTGCCCGCCTTCCGTGGCGACCTCTGCGAGAATGATTTCGATCCTTGTGCAGGGGGTACCGGGGTCAAGACCTGCCAGCCCTTCAAGTGTGTTCGAGTACCAGAGGACCCATACAACGGGTTCAAGTGAGCTTTCGCTTCATTTACGTCACTCTCAAGATCGCGTAATTAGTCATTTTAATCGCCTTCTACCAAATAAATGGTTTAGGTGTGATGGAATAAAAAGGACTTGTTTTATCTGCCTTTACTATTGTGAAATGATTTTATTATTATCTAATTCAATCTTTTTGAATTAGAGTAGCAAAATTAGAATGGTTTCAGTATTGGTTGAGTAAAAATTAATTCCCATCTCCTTTACACTGTTTAACTACTACTGGCGTCCACATATGCCAGTAGCATCTACCATGAGTAGTGAAATAACATTCAGGTGCGGACAAATTCAGACCAACCAATCGAGTGACCGAAGTTGAAAGGAAGCTCAATTTTCCAAGAATAAAACTTATGCGAATCCGAATAACCACGTTTTGCCTGTCACCAAAAAGGCAAAAAATAATCACCGACTTGATTATTAAATCAATTGTTTTTGTTTTAAGCAACGGAACGCATTTTTACTTATTTTAAGTGCCGTTTGAATAACGTTCTCAAATTCAATCCAAGGATTCATTGAAATTTTGCATCCATTTATTATGTACAGAATGCAAATCTGAAAAAAATTGATAGGAATCACCCATTTGGTGTTTTGACTAAGGGTTTATCTTCTTCCTCCGATCACAAATTTGCTTCCATTACAAATTCCAAGTACTTTTATAGCCTGGGTTCTAGGGGCTACATTTTAGTTTTAAGGAAGGTTAACACGTATGACATTGTGAAGTTTTAATGGTCTTAAGAGAATAAGAGACTTAAAAATAACAAATACAAACAACGGGTTTTGATCTCGACCATGTAAACGTGGACAAGACACGATTTTGTCCCCCCGAGATCTCCCTGAAGACGAAAGGGAACATCATACTCGGGCATAGCATGTATTGCTAACGCATAGAAGGACTGAGACACTACTGGCATGACCCGGAGGCCAGCCTGCCCGTCAAAGGTATAATAGTGGGGCCTCTAAGTGGTTCATTACGGAAACCGGGAGTTAACCAAAGAATTAACGTATTACAACTGCTATGCGTTTTCTGCACTTTTGGCTCGCACCAAAAAAATGCATTGAATTTAGGGAACCATTAATCCTTAATTTTTTAAAGATTTTATAAAGATACACTGGCGGTGAATCATTGGCACCTCTCGAAGTTTAAGCTGCTACAAAAATCTACAGTTGAAAGAATGATTGCAATTATATTGGGTTCATGCAAATGAACAATAAATCAGGAACAAAAGAGCTGCTACTTCTTGTACGGTGCATGATGTGCCTTCGCTGAGGCTCCTGATCATGCGATTTGATAGATTCTAGCATGCTGAGGGTTCCCCTGAGTTGCCTTCGCCATCATCCCTTACGGTATGAGCCCTAAACAGGCGAATGTGCGACGATTAATTGACAATTCCATAATCTACATCACATTAGAAAATCAACAAAATGGAATTGGCCGAAAAAGTGGCTTTTATTCCATATCTCACTTTACGGCCCACAATGTTAACATAATAGTGTCATCTTAAAAACGTCGATTTTGCATCAAAGTCAACTCCCTTGCTCCTTCCAGATGTCTTTGTCCACCAAAGACACACAAACCCAAGAATCCCACTGAACCCGTCTGCGTACCCATTGCTGCCTGCAAGAGTGGAGATCTTCAGAGTGGTCCGTGTCGGGCAGGTGGACGGTGCGAACAATTGCCCACTGGCGATCCGCTTGATTACAAGTGCCACTGTCCACCGGGCTACGGGGGTCGAAACTGCGAGGATGCGCCGCCCGACCCCTACTGGTCCTCATGGAGCTCATGGGGCCTCTGCAAGTGGCCGAGAGTCGCCGAAGCTTGCTTTCAACGTGCGTATCAGGAGTGCACTCGCCAATGCATAGTCCACTCACCAGGTCAGGTCTGTCAGGGGCCTGGTAGACGCATCCGATACCGTGTTTGCGACCTCAACTCTGTTAGTTTTAACGCTACCACTTGTCAGCTGGTTTATCCGCTCACTGATTTTCACATAACCTTTGCTGTAGTCAATTGATAAACAAAGTGCCCCTAAGCCTTGACTGGCGTAAAGTCAACGTTACTTATAAGAGGGTGACTTTCACTAAGGTTTTCTTTGTTAGCAAATAAGTAATCATCACCAAAATAGCTGACACATTCATTGCTTATAATGTCACTAATTATCTAATCAGATTTGAACTCAGCACCCTACTTACTTCAGAATCTGTAACAAAGCATATAATTCTGAAAGCGACCTTGTCATTAGTTTACGGGAGGGTCATAAGACAAATAGCGTGGGTGGCACAAACAGACCTCCATGCCATTGTAGTTTAGACCGATTTGTGGAGGTTTAAATAAAGGACAAAGGGTACCGACTTAAAGTGAGCTAGTTTATAGTGAAACTACTTCATATTAGACCACGGTAACCACACTTATTAAGGCAACATTCTCCCAAGGCCCATTTTAGGTAGATAAGATCAAAGCAATCTAGGTGAATGATATTTCACAGGAGCTTTAGGTTGGTCATCGATCCTAGTTCAGCGACCACGTTTGGCAATCAAGTTGATTCCTTATTTTATGAGACACTTTGATCGCATTTCATTCCCTTGTTGGCAGGATGACGAAGCGGTGACCAAGTCCATAACGCCATCCCAAAAGAAGGACCTTCAAGTAGCCTTTTCCCTTTGCGCGCTGAGTTCTACCTCCCAGGCGCCGGGCGGGCGGAAGTTGGAGGAGGCAAGCCTACTGGACCCGATGCGTGACCTCAACGCGCTGGACGATTGGGCAAATGCTGGTCCCGAGGAGGCCACCTACACTCTCCTGCCAGCTGTTTTTCGCCTCTTCGATCAGGCGGCGCTAGAGGCAGTCAACTGGCCCAGTCTCTCCGACCTTGTCTACCTCACTGGATGGATCTATGCCTGCATCCTCCTTCTTGCTCTTGTCTTCGTGTGGACATACCTCCTTCGGGTGTGGATCCTTCGGTACTACGGTGTCGATGTTGACGCTTAGTGTTTACCCTCAAACACTTCCCCTTTACCCCGCAATAGACCTTAAAAGGGCATCACCTTGCGCTCCTTATCTAGGGTCATCTTTTGTTCCTTCTTTTGCTTCCTTTGAAATTGGGGTACAAGAAAAGGCTCTTTACTACTTCTTCTTAATTGTTTCTGATTAGCTACGGCATCAATGTTGAAATATAAAGCGTCCACCCATCTTTCTGTTTTTCTCTATTTTAACGAAGTTTCTTGGACCTTTTAGGTCTTCTTTTTAGTTTACGAACCATTTTAGCATTGATCGTGATATCTAGGATACGGATGGGAAATCCTATTTCGTCACAGTTAGTCACCTAGTCTTGACTCTAGTTGCTTTTATTTCGAGTCTTTTATTATTGTAGATGAAAACTGCCCAATAACAAATGTGTCCTAGTCTATCAGCTCAACCTTAACTGCCATTTTTTGGTTCTGCATAGCTCACTCAGCAGCACATCGTGAATGGGGGGCATTTCCTTTTTGGCTATAAAGGATCTGTGTTACATTGGAGCGCAACTTAGCACTTTTGGCAGTTTAGTATACGTGTGATATGCAAACAGGAATGGTTATTCGGTTTGTTTTGTTTAAACTACTGTTGCCTCCATGGCTGAGCAGCACTCAGCGCCACCATCACTTCCATTGTTGGGCTGTCAAGCTCCGCTTGCTCCTTTCTTGTATGATTGGCTGCTCACCTAGTTAATCACGACAGATGATAGAAATGTGGTTCCTTACTAAGCTGTTTTACTCCCCGGTTTCCTGTCCTGCCCTTTCCATCCTTGTCAGCTGACGGGACTAAGGTGCTGTCGCTGAATCACTTACTAGTGCAAGCAACAGTACATAGTTTAATTTTAAAGTGAAATAAGATATAACAACCGTAGAATTGTTCTGTTAGGAGGCTCCTGAATATTTGAAAACGGATGTCAACGAATAAAAACGTCCTTTCGTTTCCCATATTTAAACATGTATCAGGCTTAAACTGCTCTTGAACGCATTGGAGCACATTCGGCAGTGTTTTTATCCCTGACCCCAAATTGTGTGGGCTCTTTTAACTCACTGAAGTTTCGCAAAGCAACATTAAATGTCGTGAGATGATGAGAAATTTTCGACCCTCCAAAAGGTTTATCAACTGGAGTGATTTTCTATTACCCACTTTAGAATCTTCAAACAGTAGAGCTCCGAGTCTTCCTTGAAGTCGAATTATAAAAGAATTGTTTATTATTGTGGAACAGAGAGGCTGAGAGGCTATAGGAGTGGCCAGAAAGGTCTATCACAAGAAAAACGGCAAAATGTGGAGATTGGAGTGTGCGAACTGCTTAAAATACACTAAAACGAATACCAAATCACCACTTCCCCACATTGTTTAATATTAGCGGAATTCTTTCGTATTTTCTGTTTTGAACATCGGATCAGTTGGAACAGTTGAGTTTATTATGTGATACTTTCTTGTTTTTTTTTTTTAACTTCGCTCTTGGATTAACCAGGCACTCAAGGTCCCGCCATTGTGCTTCCGCTCAACGTCGTGGTCTCTGGGCCATGCCGATAGCCCCAGCTCTTCAGTACATCGGTATAATCCTGTGACTTCTTCCGACTTCAAAGAAGTCTGGGGCCCTACATTGGCGGCAGCGGTAAGCGAATCCGATTCCAAACTACAACTGCCATGACTTCTTTCAACTTCAGGGTAGAAATTAGAGCACTGCACTTATTTTAACAAGCGTTCAGCAGAAATCACTCGGGTTCAGTTTTAATGCGAATCACTGTACTAAAATCTTACTTATGCTAAATCAAAATGTCAAAATTCATTCAGGATATCGTAAAGTGCAATTATTAAAGTGATGTAGCACAACAAAGTCACCATATAGCCCCGTCATGTTGAACCTCCTAAATGAAGATCCAAAGTGCCTTTTTGTCCTAAGGGAGAGGCGGCGCTAATCCCAGTTGTTAAAAGGAATCACTCTTAGCTGGGGAGGCTAGAGAAAAATTTTTAACGAAGGGGCTGCCCAACATCTCCGCTTGGGGAAGTGTCTTAATTGACTGTTAGAAATTCACTGGATTATTCTAAAACTAATTTTCATCTTAGGTAAAGGCGGCATCATTCCTAATTATGCCAACAGTAACCATATTGTTGAACGGAACAATCAGTCACCGACTGATCTCGTCTCCTCTAAGGGGTGTAAGGCGATTGCTTTAATCAGCTATGTTCAAGATAATGGGTTTTTTTGAAAATTTAGTCGGATAAGAGCGCTAACGGTAGTAAAATTGGTACTAGGAAGTGGGTAACGTCGAACCTCTATGATTCGCATTACAGGGCTCCTTCGGATTCTGATGTTTTCATGGTTTGAAAAATCTAAAGGAGGAGATTTTCCCTCTCTTACTTTACTACAATGTGGGCAAAATTTAATCGCAATCCAATGTACCACCTCGATTCTCTCATCCTTCAATTAAATACATGTAAGTTTTTTTTTGTCACGAAGTTGCCGCTTCTTAAACCATTGGAACGGATTTCAGTAACGCTTGCTTTTCCCATTTGAGAAGAATGATGACTCGATAAAAAGAACTTTAAAATCAATGGGCTCGTTTTAAAGAGAAATTTGTAACAAATATAGCAATCCCGTCAACTGAAATTATCAAAATGCCCACTTGATGGCAGATCCGACTTCATCTTTTCTCAAGCTAAAGACCTATCAAATAAATGCATTTTGCATTATTCTTTGGCAAGCGACGAGTAATTGTCACTAACCCTTAATGGGTCTGTTAATTTGTATAACAAAAAGCTATCTCGTATCATTTTCATGAGAACTAGAGAACTGCAGAAAACCTCCTACATTATCATGTTTGTTTGTTGAAATAGGTACCACATTTTGTCTAAAATAAAAACCCATCCTCAGCTACCCCCATTGCCATCTCCTTTTTTATTCTCCAACTGTTCATTTTCCGTATGATGATGTGATAATCTGATGGTGGTGGTGCTAAGAGAAGAAGATGGGCAAATACACAAGTTTGAGTTGAAACAAGTCGATCTCACTTGTAGCTAGTTGGCCTTCAGCAAGAAGAATTCATACCGAAAAATTTAGCCTACCGTGGGCTCTTAGTGAATGACCTGACCTGGGAGTGTAGAGTGGGTGGTAGGTAAAACCTTTCGTACGTCTTTGAAATTCTGTGAAGGACAAGATTGGTTTCTTTGAATTCTTTCGTCACCTACACTTTATGTGAAATGCAGTTGTTCTGCTTCCATTAATTTCGTCAGTTGATGTCGGTATCCTTCAGATGGTTTCATCACTACCTCAGTCTAAATTGTTCCTATCGGTGGCAACACCTAATCCCATTCTTCATTATTTTTCTCGAAATGATGCACTTTTGAACAATTCTGCACCAGAAGCAAATTCGGTCAACCATTTCTAGAGTGTACACTCGGCTGCCGTAAAAGCTTTCACGAGAGACTATTGAGATGTAACCACTTGATTGGATACCGATTCGACACAGCACAACGCTGGAATGGGGACAGAGGAGTAACAACAAACTGACTTGTTTGATAAATCAGTTTTTGCAAGGGTATCCTAAGAGCCCCTACAAGTTGTAAGAAGTCTTTGTATCTAGACATAAGAAAACAACGCGGACTGTTCCGGTTACCTGTTAGAGGAATAAACGTTTGTTCTGATTTCGGCATCAAGACGAAATCCGCGTTAACAAGAGTAGCTAAAACTGATCGAGTGCACCCTGTGGAGTGTACAGACGTATCTGTACGATTTATTATAGGGGGTACACAAACAAAGTATCAGTCGTTGAGGTGTTGAAACATGTTAGCGCCCCGGGACTGCCCAAAAGACGAAAAAAGATATAATATTTGGGCTGATTGTGCATAGCCTACGCACAGAAGGGATGGGGTGAGCTACTAGCATGATTCGGCGCCCATGTGCCCCAAGAGAAGTACAGGATCGGAGCCTCAAGCGCCCGTGGAACCAGAACGAAGAGCTAACTGATCAACGTATTGCAGATTCATGGAAAATGAATCACGACAGATTGAATTCCAAACAATTATTAGATGCAACGGTTAAATAGGGTTGGGTGAAGGGTAAAACTGATTATCCATAAAAAGATTTGAATTGGTGCTACCAGTTCGTTGGTAAGGGGTAGCCTTGTAAGGCCTAACCAGCCAATTGCCGTGGCCAAATGGCTACTGTGACCGATCGGTTAAAATAAATAGTAAATAAATAGCCTGCGTAACAGGCTCTATC